TCTTCCTCTCCTTCCCCTCCTTTTCCCTCCCCCCTCCTCTCCTGTCCTTCCCTCCTCTTCCTCTTCTCCCCCTCCTCTTCCTGTCCTTCCCCCTCCTCTTCCTCTCCTTCCCCACCCCTCTTCCCCTCCTTCCCCCTCTTCCTCCTTCTCCTCCACTCCTCCCTCCCTTGGACCACCACACCGTAATAGCAAGACCACCCTCCGCCTGCTAAACATCAATTTCAGAAGCATTTCAAACAAAATAGCCCAGATTCACCAAATCATCCAGTCTTACCAACCAGGTATAATAGGCACCGAGACATGGCTGACTCCTGACATCCCTTTAGCATGACATACACGCTCGACTGACGCTGGCAGAGGTGGCGGTGTCCTCATCGCCACCAAACCAGAAGTAATCACCAAACCGAGACCTGACCTTGACGCATACTGCAAAATCGTCTGGATCCAACTCCAAGTCTCTACCTGTACGTCACTCCTTCTCACTGCTTTCTACAGACCACCTTCTACTAACACAGAATACCTACAAAACCTTCAAACATCTCTATCATGCATAACCGCTGACAAAGACATATGGGTCACAGGCGATTCCAACCTTCCCGACATAAACTGGACTGCTCTGTCCCCTCATGATCCCCCACACCTTGCGGCTCCTATTCCCCACACAAACAGACGTCAACTACACGACACTTTCATGGGCATCGTAAATGCTTACTCACTCTCGCAAACAGTACTCACTCCAACGCGAACACAAAACATGACACGTCCCGATGGCATCGGTGACCCTCACACTACCTCACACACACTAGATTTTTTTCTCACGAACAACGTTCTAGACATACAAACACCAAGGTTATCCCAGGACTAAAACAGACATAACACGGTTTTCGGGCCAGACGATCATGTGAAACCCATCTTATTACCACTCATCATGACATTGCCCGACAACTTGACAGACGCGACACAAAAAGTTGACGTCATACTGCTTGACTTTACCGAAGCCTTTGACAGTTCCTCATAAAAGACTGACTTAAATTACAACAAATCTTCACTGGATCACTGCTTTCTTGACGTGTAGGACCCAACGTGTCTTACTCGACGGCGCGGCGTATCTTCCGACCCTGTCCCTGTCTCTTCTGGTGCCCCGCAAGGCACCGTTCATGGCCCCCTTCTTTTCCTCCTGTGCATTAACGACCTCCCAATTTCGACACCTAATTCAGTCTTTTGTTTCGACCCATAAAAACTGGAGACGACTGTAGACTTCTCCAGCAAGACATGGACGCCCTAGAACATGGCAAATATCTTTCAGACCAGATAAATGCAAAATTCTCCTCTTCACCAGATCCTACGCACCAATTCACTATATTTACACCCTGCATAACCAACATTTAACACCTACAGCATCCTATAAATACGTCGGTATCCACCTAACCAACAACCTTACTTTCAACACACACTTTCATCATCAATAAAGCAAACATAAAACTGTGGTTTCTGAGGAGGAACATACACAACTGTACACCTGACATCAAACACGTAGCTTATAACTCACTTGTACGCTCAACACTAGAGTACTGTACAGCTGTATGGGACCCTTACACTAAGCACAACTTTGAGAAGCCCGAGGAAGTGAATACTGTTTATTACACACAATAACACACGTACACCTGGTATTACATATCACATAAAAAACAGATTAATATGGACCTGCTCGAGACACGAAGACAAGCACACAGACTTACAATCATGTACAAAATTACAAACAACCTTATAATCAACAAACACGAATACTTACAAGCAGCACACTCACGCAACACAAGAAACTCACACACGTCAATTCGTCACATACCACTGACTCTTACAAGCACTCCTTCCCACTGGAACAGGCGACTGGAACAGGCTCCTCCAACATATCACTGAGACAAAAACAATCAATGCTTTCATTAACAAATAGAATAAATAACACTACAAGCACCTCCTCAGACACCGACACCTACTAACACCTTAATCCTTTCTCCTTTCCCCCAGCAACCAACCACTAAAATGCGTGTTATGCGCTTATCAACGCCCTGTGCATTACTATTGACACTGAGATTGAGAGGATGTTCGTAGGATTCCTGGGACCTCACTCCGATAGCGCCATGTTTGTTTACATGGGGAATGTTTTCTGCCTTGGTACTGTGATAGGGTCAGCCCATTTCCATGCGAAAAGTTAATTCAGAAACGCAAAAATTGTCGGAAAAGTGCTAGTGGGATAAAAGTAATGATAATAATAGTTACCCCCATTGCCTAGACAATATGGATAACTATACAGTCATCCAGTTATCCAGTTAACCAACCAACAAACACTAAGCAACGCTACCAAAAACATAACCTCCCTGGTGGAGGTAAAAATAAGTAAAACACTATTGGCAAAACAGGACGAATCATACGATAATTCTTTTACAATTGAGAACTGCCGAGTTAACTTCGGCAGATTAGTTTCATGTCTGCGAAGAGGCGG